AAAAAAAAAAACATACTTATTTTAATCCAGCTAGTTTCCATGGAAATATGTTAAAGGTTTACATTACGGAACGCTATTCACTATTAACTAGCTGCTCATTAGCATGCATATGTATAGCATAGTGGCTGTTTATTAGTAATTATAAAGCACATATTAATACATGACCATATTCTAGATTCCTCAACTCGACCCAATACCTAAACATAACTACAACAACAACTACTTACTACAAATAAGCAGCAAGTTAGGAGTTTATTCAGGGGAAAATAAGTGTTCCATAATCTAAAGTGTTAGTAGAAATATTTCTTGATTTTATTTAGTTTTACTTGATGTACTAAAATAACTCAAACTAAACCTGAAATAAAAAATAATAACTATATATATATAAAAAAAAGAATATGACAAAAATCACTAAAAACAAAAATTACAATAAAAAAGAAAATATTAAAATAAAAAACTAATTCAAACTGCAGACAAAAACTAAAATAGTATTCCATTTATAGCAAAATAACAGTGGTCTGAGATGAACTTAAAGATATAATTATGCATTTACAATGTAAAAGCAGTTAAAAAGGAAGGTCATTTGCTTCTTGTAGTTTTTAAAGCGGTACATAAGACAATACATACTTAGACGATACCATTGATACAAAACATGTAGAACACAAAGTAGGATATACATGCATTTATGTGAAGTGTGTGTGTAACAATTGTGTTGAGAATGTTTATAGAGACAAAAAAAAAACCATAAATACAATTAAAGGGAGAGAGAGCGCGAAATAATTAAATGGGTACATAAACTATAAAAGAACAACAAAAGAAAAAAAAAAAAAAAGTGGTACGGGGATACTGAGAAATTGATTTAAATAAAAATTGTATTTTTATTTTAGAAGTACATTCTGAGTGGACATGAAACTGGGACTGACCTCTCCAGCAGGGTTTTGACCATCCGCTCAAAAGCGTCGTCACATCGGAGGATTGGACTCGCTACTCCCCACTGCAGGGAGCTGCTGTAGTCCTTCAGCCCAAAGTAGACCAGGTCCTTAGGAGAAGCCTCAGCCTGCTGTGACATGCAAACACATCCATTTTACTTCTCTGAGCAAAACAGTGTTGTTCTCTTTTTACTTCTTTTAGTTCTTGCCTGCAAATGCTTTTAGTGTGTCTATAAACACATCTAGGTCATTATACAATAATCCAGATTATTTTTATGTGTCTGATGAATATGAATCTCTGTCACACGCAGTGTGCTAAAAATGTGATTGCTTTACTGATTGTGTGAATTTGGATTGAAACGGCTGCAGTAAAGATTTTTTAATAGTTACAAACTTCCTGGATACTGAGCCACAAAGCACAGAATGTGTTGGAAAGACTTTATTCACAGAGAAAAAAGCAAACAATAATGGCGACTACCCATTGCAAAAACGCCCAAAATGGTAAACCAAAAAAACTTGAACTATCCAACATCAAAGATCAAGGCTGAAACCACATATTTAAAAATGAGGCACGAAACAAAAAAGTTTCAACATCATTTTTTCAACAACAACATTGAACACTATTCTGGAGATTGCTTTGCTCAAAATTGGAGACCTACAATAAAACTACATAAAAGGATCATGAGAAAACTCTTAATTAAAAAGATCATCTTCAATTAAATTTCATATGGATAAATGTTGCAAACTTTTGGCAGTTTGCCGCTAAATTAGTGCATGAAATGTGTTTATGTACGTTACCATTGAAAACATTTTTTTGAAAGAAGACTCACCAAGACCACATTTATTTCTTTAAAAAAAATACAGTAAAACAGTAATATCTGAAATATTATTATTATAATTTTGAAAAACTGGTTTCTATTGTAATATATTTTATTTCAAGAGGAAATTTATTCATGTGATGCAAAGCTGAATTTTCAGCATAATTACTCCAGAAATCATTCTAATCTGAATTCTGAATTATTTTCTCTCTCCTGTTAAACATAAACAACACAGCAAACAAAAAAACACCATAATATATATTCACAGTCTTCAGAAGTCTTATAGCTTTGTGTTTGTGCAGAATTTAAATGAATTTTTGGGTTGAATTGAATTTTGAATTTTCATCTGTTGTACCTGCACTCACTCACATCGTTAACACATCCCTTCACACTGGTGTTTTTCCCTCAACATTTAAACAGGCTCGTATAACCCCACTTCTTAAGAAACCCACTCTTAACCCAACTCTTTTATTGTCATTTGCACTTATATATTGTTGCTCTTTTGTTAAGTTTTGACTGCTTTTATTGTCCTCATTTGTAAGTCGCTTTGGATAAAAGCGTCTGCTAAATGACTAAATGTAAATGTAAATGTAATCTGCTGACTTGCTGCTCAAGAAACAATGTTGAAAACAGTTGTTCTGCTTCATATTTTTGTGAAATATTTTCAGGATTATTAATGAACAGAAAGTTCAAAAGAACTGCATTTATCCGAAACAGAAATATTGCTGACATTATAAATGTCTTATACTGTCACTTTTGATCAATTTAATGCATCCCTGCTGAATAAAAGTATGCATTTAAAAAAAAAAACATACTACTGACCTCAACATTTTAAGCTGTAGTGTACGCATATACTCTTAAAATGCTTGTCAATCATCTCATTTACAGTAGCTGAAGTCTCATCTGTCCTCCATAAATTCCTTTACAGTTCTTCTCGGGGTCAGAGAAACTCACCGGGTTCTCAGTGTTGGGCCAGTGCACTTCATTCAGGGGACTGATGCGTGACTGACGGCTCTGCAGGGTGAACGGGAAGCAGCTGACCTGCAGAACCAGCAAGTTAATTGCTTCCAGAACCTCCGGACAGTTCACCACGCGGTCGGCCAATCCCTGCAACTCCCCGTGACAAACCGACCCTGACAGAGCGCTGACGGAGAGAGAGAAGAAAGACAAGACGTCTTAACACTGACCTTTCTGACAGTCGCTTTTACAAAGCGCTCGTCGTTGTTTTTCTCACCTGGTCAGGTCGACGTGCGAGTTGTCGTGAACGAGGACGAAGAGCGTATAAGGGTTCTGCTTGACCTTCCTCATGAAGGCCTCCATTTTTGTGTGGACCTCCGCGTCCAGACGCACCACATACTTGTCAGACTTCTGCAGCGCTAATGAGTCGTCCTCTATTCCTAGATCTATCAGGACGCCTAGCAAAGACATGAGGACAACAACATAAAATATATGCCAAATGTCAATATGCCAAAGTGTTGCAGAGTTGCAGCCTCAGAATCAGCTTGGCATCATGCTAACAATTTCACTAGCCGGGTTTCCATCCAAAGTTGCGAATTTAAGATCGGTCCGCTGGTTAGTCAGGTTTTGCCATCCCATAGCGCAAAGTCATGTGACTTTTTTGATGCGCATGGAGGAATTTGTTCGCAAAATGCATTTCCATCTCCCATTATTCGCATCAACCCTTTTTCGCACAAGTCAAAAACCACCTCAAGCAAGCGTAAAAACTTTTTTGCAAATTTTTATTCGAAATTTGGCGTTTTCATCACTCGTTTCTCATGCGATACTTCAAAATGCGCATTAAAATAGGGTGATGGAAACATAGCTATTGATGCGTTATTCGAGAACTGTTTGGTCAATCAAAAACCTTTTGATAACTTTTTGCCCGACTTTGGTAAAAATCAGACCAACGGTCTAGGATGAGCTCGAAAAAGTAGGTTTTCAAAGAAATTCTAAATGGCCAACTGCAAGTATAATTGATGTTGACATTCTCGGCATGATCCAAGGAATCTATCAAGAATAGTTTCATTAAAATAGGCAACAATAATTAAAAGCTATTAGCATTTTTTGATCATTCGTTTTAAATTTTGACCAAAAGGGGGTGCTGTTTTAAAATAATTCAAAATTGTGAAAAATCTTGGCCATTAGAAATGCAAAGTTTGGTGTGCATTTGACTCGGCATGAGCCAAGGTTCAATTTATTTTATTTTTTTTACAGTTCAAAAGTTAGTAGCATAAACATGAGCGCAAATTTGAGTTGTTGGTGTTGCTACAGGGTTTGCGTTAGAGACTAATGTTGAGACTGTCCTCTATCTGTGTGCCAAATTTCCTAACTTTCCCACAGGCAGTTCTATGGGCTGCCATAGACTCAAAGCGGAATAAAGAAGAAGAAGATGATGAAGGAAACTAATTTGTACAGGTTTGGAACAACATGAGGGTGAGTAAATTACACATTTCCATTGGTGAGCAATCCGTTTAACTGTCCAGGCAAGTTTTTGTGAAAGGTTCATACGTTTCTTAAAACAGTGGGCTTGACATTGAAAACAAGTTGAATATCCCTTCAAATCGGCAATATCGTCTCTTCTGCTGTGACGTACCTGATTGTTGTATTCGCTGGACGGTTTGGTGAACCAGGACATGTGACGGCGGCACCAATATCAGGAAGTCCACTTTACAGAAGCGGCCCAGATCTAAGCTCTGGCTCCCTGAGTCGGCGATAGCACACACCTGTGACAAAAGGCTGCGTGCAACGCTCAGCTGCGGAGGGTGTATCTGAAAGCCATCACTCAGCAGATCTGCAACACATCAAAAGTCAATCAGCATTTTCAAGTGCCAAATATAAAGTTTTATCATGGCATCTGGAGACAGCAAAGGCTCACCTGGCCCTGATTCTGGTAGCATGGCTGCGGCCTCTTGGGAGTGGATGTATTCGGTCAGATGTCCCTGAAATGGCTGAACCACGCGGTCTTTGCGCTTACGCTGGTACCGAACCAGCTGTTTGTCCATGTTGTCGCCTGTAGCGCCACAATCGATTTGAAATTAATAAGGAGACACATGCACATGCTATAATTCAAAAATCTGAAAAGTTTCTTTGAAAGAAAGTAACACTTTTATTCAGCAAGGTCACATTACATTGATCAAAAGTAACAGTAAAGACAGTAAATACATTGTTCAAATTCATTCAGTTCAATTGATCTTTCTATTCATCAAAGAATCCTGAAAAAACAATGTATCACACTGTTTCCACAAAACTGTTTTCAACACGGATAATAATAAATGTTATTTATTAGCACTAAATCAGCATATCACAATGACTGGAGTAATGGCTGCTGAACATTTGGTTTTGCCATAAGAGTAATCAATTATATTTTAAAATATATTAACAGAAAAGTTAGTTTAGATTGTAATAACATTACTTTTTTACTGTATATTTGATCAAAAAATGCAGCCTTGGTGAGCATGAGAGACTTCTTTCAAAACATTTAAAAATAATAATAATAATCAACCACCAACTTTTGAACAGTAAATGTACAACTGATAAAGTCAATGCCACTGCACAAAAAAGCATTTCGGCTTATAAATTTTAAACGTTGTGGCCGAGAAACACTTTTTTCCTTGATTCCTTAGGGTTATTTCTTTCAGAAACAGATTCGTTTAGATTGTAATATTTCACTATATTACTGTTTTTACTGTATTTTGACTAGTTAAAAAAAGTTTAGTTTTTTTTATATAAAACTAAAAATATAGTTACTGTATTTATTAGTGAGCATAAGAGACTTCTTTCAAAACACTTAAAAAAAAATGAATAGACCACAAACATTGAACGATAAATGCACAGTAGAGACAAAAAAATAACAACAACAAAACCTTTCAACTTACACATTTTGAGTGTGGTCTAGATTCATAAATTGTCAAAAAAATAATTTACAATCTCATCCTAAATTATGTTTAGCTTTTGAACTACGTCCTAAATTCACCAAAGAGGGTGCAGTGACCACACAAATTGCAATGTGAGTAACATTTGCGTTCTTGGCCCCAAAACTGCTGCTTACATCTATATTCTTAAATTAATTTCTAAATAAAAGACAATGATAAGATGATGAAAACCGATGGATCACCGACCACTAAATTGTTGCACTGAGACTCACCTAATGAGGTGCTCTGGAAGTGCGAGGCGAGCACACTAACTTTCCCGGTGATGAGCTCATAGCTGATCTCCTTCAGAAACTCATTGGTAGAGAGCATGCTCTCCGCCAAGGCTCGAGACTGATATTTACCTGAGAAAAACAACAGCACAGGGTCACATATAAGACAATGACACACCTTGTTCAAAAAACATTCAGCTTTATTGATTCTTAATAAGCCAACAGTGTGACTTTAGACTCCTTAATTGGCATTTATAGCATGGAAATGGACTAAAATTAAACTTTGGCAGCAGCTATTTGCACCTAGTGTAAATAGCGATAGATGCTATTTACACCAAATGAAAATAGCATATTTTTTTACCGATTGATGCTATTTACACTAAGTGCAAATAACTATATATTCTATTCACACTGTTAAAAGAGCAGGATTTTCAGCTATTTATACTACTTATTGCAAATAGTGGAAATTATCTGCACCTCAGTATTGTAGTACATTATAAAACAGTATGCAATAATAACGTATAAAGTGTAAATTATAATTTTAATTCAAATGATTAAATGGATGCCTAACCCTAACCCTTACTGGGACAATAAAAGCCCTCCCTACACCTACCCTAACCCTACCGGATACTTTATTTTCAACTTTTCGATTATTTCCTTCATTTTTATTGAAAATAAATGCCTTTTCGTGATATGAGAATTGAAAAGGGAGAAAAAAAGTTCGGCAAAAGGCGGATTCGAACTCGGGTCAGTCGCGTCAAAATAACTACGGCACGCACAGAGATTCTTGACAGAATGACGTAGTTCTGCACAGGCCCCTCCCACGATTGTTGACTGACACTGGTGTTTTACCTTAGACCCGCCCTGAGTGAGCTGTCATCAGTCCGCCATTGTTTTGACGCCAGAGCAGGGGTAGATAAGAATGTCTCCTAAGCGATTGAGGTGTTTTGTTGTTGGATGTAATGAATATAGCAGTCGTCATTTACTCCTGACATCTGAGCCGCTGAAGACGCAGTGCATCACGTTTGTTTTTGAAGGGAATGCATCCCCCGATCTGCCTAAATGCGTTTATGTTTGCGCGAATCATTCGTGATCCAGCTTCACCTACAGAAGAAGTGAGTATAATGTGTTTTATGAATCTTTGCAAATCGCCTTTCCTAATAATGTGCTAATTAGCAAGTTTCACGATGAATGCGGCTGAGCCACTAAAGATTAAGTTGGATTAAGTGGATTAAGTTGGATTAAGTTGGTTTTTGAAGGGAATGCATCCCCCGATCTGCCTAAATGCGTTTATGTTTGCGCGAATCATTCGTGATCCAGCTTCACCTACAGAAGAAGTGAGTATAATGTGTTTTATGAATCTTTGCAAATCGCCTTTCCTAATAATGTGCTAGTTAGCAAGTTTTACGATGGATGAATGCGAAGTTTACAGACTCGGCTAAAGCTAACGGCTCGTCACACCATGGAAAAGAGGGGCGGGGTAAATAGAGCTCATTAGCATTTAAAGGGACATGCACTGAAAAGCTGATTTTGACAGGGTAAAAATTTTGTTTTTTTTAACCAAAGAGAAATTTTAACCAAAGTATATTATAGACTTTTCATTAAGACCCTAAAGAATCATATCAGCTTGTGGAAAATGGGCATCCGATGACCCCTTTAAGTCTTTGAGAGCAGCAGAACGTACCCAACACTAGCACGCAGAACTCATTCGCTCCACTTTTGGAGGTGCAGATGATGAGCACGTAGTTGGGCAGGCACTGCTGCTGCTGTGATGGCGTCTCACTCAGTGAGCGCAGCGACTCAGAGATGCCCTCGCCCAGAGAGCCGTGGCTGACCAGCACCTGAACGCAGCCCCCTGACACACTGGCCTCCATTCGAGCTAACCAGGGCAGCTGGGAGGGGGACACGGGAGGGCCGGTCGGACCGCACAGCATGGCCTTCAGTACGATCTGCTCAAACTCTTCCCGTAACGGGATCTGCTCCGTACCTGCATTGAAGACAGGAAAAGGAATAGTCACATCACTATAAAGAGAGCACTCATTGTTCTTGCGTAATACTTGAGCTAGATGCATTTGAAATAAGATATTTAACAAGCTGTGCACTCTTTTCCAAAATCAATTCATGTTACTGATGCATTAAAACTTATTTGACATGCATTAAAACGTCTTGTTTGTCAGTGTTGTTTACCCAGCCGAGCAAGGTACTGCAGTGTGAGCAGTATCATGGTCTCTGTGGTGAGTAACTGGCTTGCTGACATCCCCAGACTGGCGAGGGTCTTCTCATTTAGCTCTCGGCCCTTATAGCAGCTCACCAGCAGGGGGCTCACCACCAGATCACCCACATTGCCAAAGAAGTACGGCAAAGTGCCTTGACCTGGAGAGAAACATTCAAACAAACAAGTTCACACACACATCCAAACACTTAAAGATGAAGTAACTCGAGAGATCTGGGTATATTGTGTACTGTGATGAACCTATTTCTGTAAAATTGACCTGGATGTAAAATAGTATTTCAGATTATGCTATCTTTCTTAACAATGTTTTTCAATGTTTGTCTTCCTATCTACATATGTGACCCTGGACCACAAAACCAGTCTTAAGTCGCTGCGGTATATTTGTAGCAATAGCCAAAAATACATTATGGGTCAAAATTATCGATTTTTTTATGACAAAAATCATTAGGATATTAAGTAAAGATCATGTTCCATGAAGATATTTTGTACATTTCCTACCGTAAATATATCAAAACTTAATTTTTGATTAGTAATATGCATTGCTAAGAACTTCATTTGGACAACTTTAAAGGCAATTTTGTCAATATTTATATTTTTTTGCACCCTCAGATTCCAGATGCTCAAATACTTGTATCTTGGCCAAATATTGTCCGATCCTAACAAATACATACATCAATGGAAAGCTTATTTATTCAGTGATGTATAAATCTCAATTTGAAAAAATTGACCCTTATGACTGGTTTTGTGGTCCAAAGTCACATATATATCTATATCTATAAATCAATAATCAATCTATCTATCTATCTATCTATTGATTTAATATTTAATCTATTTAATATGTAGATTAAGTACTTTAAAAGCTGTTTTGTTAAAAATATGTATTAATATATTGTTAAAAATATAAAATATATAAAAATAATATATTTCTTTAATATTGTTTTAAATTTAATTACATTTTTTTCAATTGACAAAAATGTTGCTGAGCAGTTTACGACTAGTTCTTATTATCACTCTTTGCTGTTTAAATTCTTAAATGTAAGTTAAATATTATTATATATCTGATACTGTCAATCAAATTAATCTGACATTGCTAGCTTTTTAATCTAAACGTTAGCCTGCTAACTTGTCTTTATAGGATCACGTCTACTTAATAAGGTTAAAAAAATTTTTGTAAGAATATTATATATTTTATTATTTTGAAAAAAACAACAAATATCACTACTTTGAAAAATATCAAGATATTAAATCAGAAATTTATATATATTGGCCCCTAAAAATTGTTGCAATGACGTTTTCATCAAATTAAAGGGATAGTTCATCCAATCATTTACTCCAAACCTGTTGCTGGTCCCCATTGATTTCCACAGTATGGGAAAAAAATACTATGAAAGTCAATATAACTATATGAGCTTTTAATACATAAGCCTGTTATGAAGACTGACCAATGAGAAGGACTGGTCGGACCCCGGAGGAGTTCAGAAGGTTGTCAGGGATGATGACAGTTTCTCCCGCTGTGATTGGTTGGGGTTGTATGACCCCTGACACTGATGGAGGCTGTTGATTGGTCAGGGACAGTAAAGAACCTGGAACGAAGGAGCAAAACTTTACATGTATGTACTTTTTGTATTGGAACACACAGAATGCGCTGTCAAGCCATTGTGGAAACTTGATAATACGTTGGATGGATCTCTTCAGTCCCATGCTTTGTTAACATGACACTCCAATCAATGGTGAGGACAAGGAAACTAAGCTACAGGATCACAGTGCATGGATCTCCAAAGCATAAACCCTCCAATCTGCTGCTAAACAGTTCAGAACCTACTTTAGCATGACCCTTCACCTCTGTTTATATGAAAACAATGAATAAAGCATCCTTGTGGATGGAAAATGTCACGTCCCTTACGAAACGAAAAAATATCGTAATATACTCCAAAATATAATGCTATATATTACATAATACATTTCCATATATTGGAAACTGGTGCTTGTATTTTTCAATATACAGCAATATATGCATTGACAATATATAGCTATATATTGATACATACAACAAAATGAAATCATTAATTACTCACCCTCGTGTTGTTCGAAACCCGTAAGACCTTCGTTCATCTTCGGAACACAATTTAAGATATTTTTGATGAAATCCGAGGGCTCTCTGACCCTCCCATAGACAGCAAGGTAACTACCACGTTCAAGGTCCAGAAAAGTACCAAGATGATCGACAAAGTAGTCCGTGTGACATCAGTGGTTCAACTGTAAAGTTACGAAGATCCGGGCGTAATGACGTAATGATGTCATCACGCCGAATCTGGGTCAGCGCCGGCGCCGCCACACGCTCGCGTCATGATACTGTCGTGAACCCACGTCCTAAGTGACGCAGTAGAGACGAAAATGCTGAATAAAGTCGTTATTTTTGTTTTCTTTGTGCAAAAAAGTATTCTAAATAATCAAATTCATGGCTGTTTTCCACTCAGGACCATGCATAAACAGCCTGATGAACTGACCGACAGCAGCATTTACAAACATCAGGCTGAGGATGATGAAGTCAGACCCACCAGAGCTGCACGTCAGCGGGCGGATGGCTGGCACAGGGACGGCCGTGGCCGGGAAAGGGACGAGAGACGTGGGGTGCCAGCTGCGGTGACGCTTTTTAGGCGGACCGGATGACATTGCAGAGGATGCTGCAAGAAAGAGCGCAGGATGGAACATGCTTGTTAGCATCAAGATGCACAGTGTATTTCATGATGCCTTTTAAAAACATCTGATGAGCTTGACCACTAATGAGATGCATGAGCAGGCAGAAGAGCGGCACGATTCTGGATAAATTGAGAATCACTATTTTTTTTGTCCCATATAGAGATCACGATTCTAAAGTAAACTAAATGATGTGTGATATAATATTAATTGCTGCAGTCTGTTTGAAAATGTGTTTAATTAATTTGAATGAATTATTTTTAAAACTATTAAACATGATAATATATATGTATTTAAAATATAATATATGTAATAGGCTACACCAATTTTTAATATTACAATGTGACCCTGGGCCACAAAATCAGTCATAAGGGTCAATTTTTTGAAATTGAGAGATTATAAATAAGCTTTCCATTGATGTATGGTTTGTTAGGAGAGGACAATATTTGGCCGAGATACAACTATTTGAAAATCTGGAATCTGAGGGTGCAAAAAAATCAAAATATTGAGAAAATCGCATTTAAAGTTGTCCAAATGAAGTTCTTAGCAATGCATATTACTAATCAAAAATTAAGTTTTGATATATTTACAGTAGGAAATGTACAAAATATCTTCATGGAACATGATCTTTACATAATATCCTAATGATTTTTGGCATAAAAGAAAAATCAAACATTTTGACCCAAACAGTGTATATTTGGCTATTGCTACAAATATACCCGTGTTACTTATGACTGGTTTTGTGCTCCAGGGTCACAAATTATGAAAAAGTGGTTTGAATGAATAATTCAGTGACTTTCAGTGAATTTCATTACTGGAAGAATGAGCGGCTTTGAACGAATCTCTTGAATGAATGATACATTTTTTAACAGTCACCTGTCGCCACCTAGTGGCGAAATAATGCAATCGACACAAACGTTATTTGAAGCGCCAGTTACTTTCAAAAGGGGATTTGCTCTATTTTGATCGCAACCATAGACATCAATGTTTATATCCGAACTATAGACTTTCATTCCAGTATTTCTGTGATAATATGAATGATTGTAAGACAGAACTAATACTGTGTAGTTGAAAAGACTGTTTTGTTTTTACCTAAACATGCTAACTGCTCTCTCCCTCCGTGTCAGCGGCAGAGCGAACGCAGATTTGAATGTTCAATTTGAATGTTTTAAGACTTTGTCAAAGGTTTAATAGACACGGGGAATCGTTGTCATTTAGAAATTAGATTGCATGGGGGTTTGAATCGAGATCGCGATCTTTTAACGATTAATCGTGCAGCTCTATCAGGCAGCATTGTGATTGGCTGGTTTAATGCTTACCTGGACTGTCTCCTGGTTCTGTGGCCCTATAGCCATGAGTAGGTGTGGCCAGTGGGTTTGTATGAGGCGGGCTCAGTAGACTGGACCGTCCGTCCATACTCAGACCATTAGTTAGACTGTTTACTCGCAGGGCAGTGGGAACTGAACAGCAAAAAATAAGTTTGGAAGTCAGTAAAACAGTGTGGAGAACCATTTATACGCATGGGGTCTCAAAGTCATCAAAGCTGCATTGATTTAATCACAAAAATACAGTAATACTCTGAAATATTTTTTACAATTGAAGACAACTGTTTTCTATTTAAATATATATTTTAAAATGTAATTTATTCTTGTCATGCAAAGCTGAATTTTCAGCATCATTACTCCAGTCTTTACAGTATCACATGATCCTTTAGAAATCACTTAAATATGCAGATTTAAAAAAATATATATTTATATGCACCATTCGTAAACCACCTTTTCAGGCTAAAATTTATTAGAAAATGTATTACAATTTATTACAAGTGCCCAGAGGGGTGTCATGTTTGACACATTAATGGCTAATGTCCACTCTTCTAGTGACAAACTATGCAAACACCCCAACCTACACACAAATTCAATAGGGAGGAAAGCATTCTCGCTCATTTCTGAAGGAGAATGGGTCCTGTGCAGCACAGTTTATTGATTTCCTTTAACTGATGGCATATTGATAATGAACTGCTGGGCCACTTTTACATCTAATATTCCTGACACATAGAGCACATATATGTTAAACGTCAATTGCAGGGAACTTGAAGCGTGGGGCTGACATTAAAACCCTTAATAGAGAATTTCTGGTCTTATATTGATGATTTGGAGCGAGTTAATGTGTGTGTGCTTGCAAAAGGGGTTGTGTAAGCAGCCAATACAAATGACCTTCAGAGAAGGGATTCATTCTATCCTTCTGTGGAGAAAAACAAACAATGAAGCAGCGAACACCATTTGGAACACAAAATTGACCATAATTGGTTGTTAACAATTTATTATTTAAAAAATACAATACAAATGCAAATAAATTTCAATTTTAATATTTTATCTTATTTATTGTTGTGTTTAACGTGTTTTTGTTTAACGAAACAATTATAATGAAATTTGAAAACTATATTTAAATAATTCTATGCATTTTATATTCTGTTTAAACAACTTTTATGGAAGAAACATTATCAATTTATTAATTTAAAAATGCAAAAACATCCAAACTGTCAATTAAATAGACATTTAAATTAATTTGATAAACTTTCAACTTTAACATTTGAACCTATTTAATGTTCAAACAAAATAGTCAAATATTTAACAAAACCGTGTTTTTATATTGAATATAACAAAGATAATTAAAAATGGTCTTTAAATACAATAACTGGTTGGCTGCTTAATGTTAAGGCTGAATGTACAGTGTGGTTTGTTTACATTTCTAATCCAAAACATGAGAAATAGTATATATTGAATATTATATATAGAATATAGTGATGTTTTCTTTAGCAAGCACCACTAATTAACAAGCACACTGAATGGTTCAAAATCATTTTAACAACTGCTTGCACTGAACGTTTCAACGCGAAAGCAAGTTGTACTTTAATACAACATTTTCTATGGCTTTTTAGCTTGGTATGATGAGCAATCAATGCTACTTGAAATTCAAAATGAGACAAATATCCTGTACCGATCGGTAAAGTCTTGGTCCCGTGGGTCAGTGTGTTCAACGGTTTGAGGAAGCCCAGCTCCGGGGGTCCAAAAATCCCTGAGGATGAGCCCGATTGCATGCGGGCAGGAGGCGAGTCTGTGGATCAAACAATAACTTCTTATCAATGCAGGTTTATTTTTTTACTCTTCATGGGAAATTAAGAAGATATGGAAAATATGTTACATTTGTTTTGCAATAATGAGCCCTTCTCCTAAACCTATTTTGTGCATTGTAAAAGACTGCTATCGCCACTAATGGACGCACTCTGCTGCCAGCTGCCCGTCTCTCTGAATGGTGTTGTGAGGAAGAAAGAGACAATGACTTGCTTTCTTTCACCAAACACTGTTGGGTAAACACTGTGTGGCCTCCAGCCAGATGTCACCAAATGCTGAGTAGCCCCCCACCCCTCTTTAACCGCAGGTTTCCCTCCCTACCCCCGTATGGACCCTCCCCCCAGGACAGAACATGACCTCTGCGCACGATGGTCATCCTCCACTGGACAGATGCAGCATGTGTTCTCTTACCCCGCTCCTCTTATGTGCTCCAGAGCTTTAAAATGACGTGCTTTCACATGAGAAACAACTCTGGACGGTGAAAAATAGAATATTGTGTGACAAGGCTTGTAATATTTGCTGGTCCACACATGCACTCACCTGAGAGGGGGAAGGGAGATGGACTGTGGCCATTTGTGTCTCCATTTTCTTTGCTGCTTAGTGAGGATGAGGAACTAGGCTTGGATGAAGAAGCACTGCCCGAGAATGGCCTTGTCTTACATTCTGAAAATGAAACAAATAAAAAAAATGCACAGGTAAAGTCAAGTGAACCATCTGTCTCTTTCAAATCAAACAGATTCAGTAACAATGTTATGTATAATACATGGATGGGAAGGATGCAGAATATATCGGCAACACTGCATTTTTTCCCTCATTGGTACAGGTCTGGAATAAGAGTAAGATCACTTCAAGACCTATTTTCTCAATTTAAACAGTACTGTTTTGTATCAGTTATGAATTTGTAAATTTAAAAATAGAACACAAATGCAAGTCTATTTTATTTGCAATTAAACAGACATTTAAATTGATTTAATTTTTAGCTTTTTATTTTTTACTGTATTTAATGTTTAGAAATATATCAAAATATATAACAAAAATGTGTGTTTTTGTTAAAAAAAACTATGATAATTAAATTTGGAAATTATCTTTAAAGGGGTCCTATTATGCCTTTTCACTTTTTCAACTTTAGTTAGTCTGTAATGTTGCTGTTTGAGCATAAAAAAGATCTGCAAAGTTACAAAGCTCAAAGTCCAATTCAAAAGGAGATATTTTATTTAACAGAAATCACTTTTCAAAAACTACAACGAACGACTCGTTTGGACTACAATGCATATTTTCCGGGATTTGTGATATCACAAATATCGACGAATGGGACGAGACCTGGTTGAGCTGCACTAGAGAAGGCAACGAGTGTTATCACTATGTTGGAGACACGCTAGCATTCCCAAGGCAGAAGAACTTAGAGGGGTTACAATCATCTGGGTTTAAATTGCGCTCAAATTGATTTGATATTGACGCAATATTTACACTGAAGCTCGCAGGCGGCTATGGTAAGGGGCGTGACATTTCCCGACCAGGCGCCGAGTGCTGCCAATCACAACACACACTGGCCCAGCTAACCAATCACAGCACACACTGGCCCAGCTAACCAATCACAGCACACACTGGCCCAGCTAACCAATCACAGCACACACTGGCCCAGCTAACCAATCACAGCACACACTGGCCCAGCTAACCAATCACAGCACACACTGGCCCAGCTAACCAATCACAGCACACACTGGCCCAGCTAACCAATCACAGCACACACTGGCCCAGCTAACCAATCACAGCACATTTCGTATTTCAGAAGGCGGGCCTTCATATGATACAGGAACTATTTGAGCCGTTCATGCCAGACTGGGGAGAGAGGTGTTGTAATAATGTAAAATATGTGAAAAATAATGTGTTTTTCGAACAACCTAGTATGAGAGCCTGTTCTAGTACACCCCCAAAACAAAATCAAGACTTTGTAAAAGAGCATAATAGGACACCTTTAAATAATTATTTGTACAATATATTCTCTGTGAATAATTTTCTTAACCTTTATGAAAGAAATCATCAATTATCAATGTATTAATTTAAAAAATAAAATACAATTGCGAATACATTTTCACTGCAATTAAACAGACATTTAATTTAACATTTTACCTTATTTAATGTTTAGAAATGTAGCAAATAAATAATTGTATGTATTCTGTGTAAATAATTTATCTTTCATGGAATAAATCATTAATTATCAATTTATTAATTTACAATATAATATACAATTGCAAATACATTTTTAATTCCAATCCAACAGACTCACTTAATTTGTTAAGTTTAATATTTTGCATTATTTAATGTTTAGAAATGTAGCGAAAATACTTAATTTTTTTGTTAAATAAAACAATGATACTTAAATGTGTAAATTATGTTTAAATAATTTTATGTATACTATGTAAATAATTTATTCTGTGTAAATAATAAAAAAAAATATTCTGTGTAAATTATCATTAATTATCAATTTATTAATTTAAAAATTGTATTGAATTATCAATTAAATAGATATTTAAATTAATCAGATAAATTTGAACTTTTAATAAATACAATTTGAATGAATAAACTTCAGTATAAAATGTAGCAAAATATTTAACAAAAATGTATTTTTTTTAATGTTTAGAAATGTAGCGAAAATACTAAATTTTTTTGTTAAATAAAACAATGATACTTAAATGTGTAAATTATGTTTAAATAATTTTATGTATACTGTGTAAATAATTTATTCTGTGTAAATAATTTAAAAAAATATTCTGTGTAAATGATCATTAATTATCAATTTATTAATTTAAAAATTGTATTGAATTATCAATTAAATAGATATTTAAATTAATCAGATAAATTTGAACTTTTAATAAATACAATTTGAATGAATAAACTTCAGTATAAAATGTAGCAAAATATTTAACAAAAATGTATTTTTATTTATTTATTTAGTTAAATATAACAAAAGGGTAGTTAAATTTGGAAAACATCTTGAAATACAACATCTTAATCCATTTGCTAAGTAGTTAATTTAAATGATGAACAGCATCAAAACTTTAAGACAGTCCACTGTCTATGCCTTGCGGCATTTTGCATGTAAGTGTGATACCTTTCCAGCAGATGAGGGTTCCCTTGCACAGAGCACCCTGAGAGTTCTTCACCAGGTAGTACTTTAAGTGCTTCTGCTTCTTCGGCTGAGTGGATAACTTCATGTTGATGTGGTTGGAGAACTCAGTGAAGTAGCGGAACCCTTTCTCACCACAGCCTACACAGTTCCCTGAAAACCCTTCACAAACACACAAACATGGATCACTACGTACTGCAAAAGACTCTTCAGAAAGACTCCGCGAAGAAAGGCTTCTGACCAAGATTTACACCAGGGTTGCACCGATACCACTTTTCCCAGAACTAGGCCTATACCGATACTTTTATTTTTGGTACTTGCCGATACCAAGTACCGATACCTGTATTTTCATTGCATTTGTAATTTTTTAAAATATTGAGTACAGAAACCAAAAGAATTTGTATAACGTTAGTTGGCTTAGTTTGGTATCGAAGCATTTTTATGAGTAGGAGTATGAATACAGGAGCGCAGTATAGGGCCGATACTGATACCAGTATCGGTATCGGTGCATCCCAATTCATCCTAATCAGGCAATAAAATATATTCACTATTGCTTCTGAATGGCAGATTTTGTTACTTTAAATAACAATTCACAGAAAAAGTGGTTTCTTTTGGTTCTGTACCCAGAATTAAAAAAAATTCCATATGCAATGAAAATACAGGTATCGGTACTCGGTATCGGCAAGTACCAAAAATAAAAGTATCGGTATCGTCCTCGACCTAGAAAAAGTGGTATCGGTGCATCCCTAATAATTAGTAATTATATAATAATACAGACTATATAAGTCCTGGAATTGTATTGGAACACTAACCTAAAAGTGCATTTTTCCCATTCTCATCTGGCAGGAAGCGCTTGTCCACCGCACAGACGAGGATGTGCTCCGGGATGCTGGACGATTTGGCACCAACCAGCTTGAACCCCGTGGGAACCTCGATAGACTCTGTTGCCATGGAAACCAGGCGCAGATCCTTTCCCGCTTGACAGAACCCTGGGCACAGATGACTCAGGTCAGCGATATAATGAAAAGCGACTGTGCTGATGTAACTAAACGCACAATGAGTCACTGTTAACACTATTTTTCAAAAGTTTTGCAATGTCATTACCATACGTTTCACTTCGACACTGACTTGGCACTTAAAAATGGCTCTTTTCGTAACACCATGCTTTCATATGACTTCAGAAGCTGGAATATATGCTGCAAATCGTCTATTAATTTACCTACCGTCAACAGTGCAGCAGCCGTCAGGAGGGGGGCCCTGAAGGTACGGCAGCGGTGGGCTGCTGGTGTCTGAATCGTCCTCGTCATCCATATCATCAATGGAATTGGACGACTGGCAGTTCACCAGCACATGGCTGGACAGGTTGGACTTCATGCTTAGGTCCATTTTGGGCTTAATATCTGGAGGGCAGAACCAGAGACAGGTGTGCTATTGTTATACATGCACACTTTCACATGCATATGAGTCAATCTATAAGTTAGGGTACATTTCACGTCAAGAAGAAAAGTGTAAAAACAATATCCTTCCCCAATAAACAACTATTACTTTCAGTTGATATATTTTATCTGCTAGTTGCCAAGCTTTATTATTAAAGACCATTTTGATATTACAAAGAAAATGTTTTTTTCTCGCTGGTGAGTTTGTCAACTGTTACGGACAAACTGTTGATAGTTTAATCATTTTGACTCATAATTTCAAAGGCAGGCCTGATCTGGCAAACCAAATGTTATTTTCCTGATAATGTTCACCTCAAATTGTAATATGAATTAAAATTAAAATCATAAAAATATTGCAAACCATTACAATGTACCCAACAATGTTGATGGGCAATTAACATACTCTTTGGAAATAGGTAATTTGAGATCAAATACACAAAAAATGTACCATAACGTGTTCAAAATGTCAGCCGAGGAAGTAAATGACATCACATGACGCTGGTCACATGGTTTTGTGATAAAACATTTTTTAGTTTTCAGGGGTGTTTGGTTAACATGACATGCAAGAAAAAAAAATTAATTGTGCACACGATTACTATTTCGTTCCCTCGATTTGCTAATTCGTTCCCTCGATTTGCTAAATCATGCACACAATTTACTAATTCGTTCTCTCGATTTATAAATCGAGTGCATGATTTAGCAAATCGAGGGAACGAATTAGTAAATCGTGCGCACAATTTAAAAATCAAGGGAACGAAATAGTAAATCGTGCACATGATTTAGCCTACTATTTTTTTTCTGCATGCCATGTGCGGGGCTCCTTAGTTTGGTTAGTAACATAGTTGACAATTTTTGTGGACATGAGTAAAATGAAATATTTTCTTGAAAGATAAATTACTCCAAGGCACTCGTAACAAAAAAAAAGCCTTTAATTGACTGGGCTAAATCATTAAAATAGTTAAAAAGGTAGATCTATGCGTTTCGGCTTCAAAGCCTTCTTCAGGATACACATCAATTGTACAAACAAGTGTTCTTAAACAATTAGCAAGCAATCAAAGACAACTGGTTAATCAATGAAAGAAAATTGTATTTAAACAATCTATTTTTCTAATGGTATTTCTATTGTAGAAATAAATTTTACATCGATAATCTTGACTTAAATTGTTTTAGTCATTATTACTCTATTTGAAAAGCGGACATTGCAAAAACGAATTTAAGGGACATAAAGGCAATTTCAAGCAAACTGGAAAACAGGGTGAACAAAACATATGTGTGAGATTATAATATATATTCTCTTTATACTGGATAAAATATGATTTTGTCTGAAGAAAACTGTTGGATTAAACAATTATCATCAATGGACATGAAATGTACCCTAAATTATAGATAGACTGAGCCATATATGAAGCGTTTTGATGGATGCAATAGAGTTTCTTTGACCAAGTTTTAGAAAATCACTACCATATGTTTTTCCTTAAAATGTAATGTATTATTAAGAAAAAATCTAAATCAATTCCTTTGAAGGCGAATGATTACCTTCCAGGTTGCTAGGATACTGATCAGGCTCGAGATACAGCTGTGTGAATACGGGCTGTGGGTCGCCGCCGCTCGATCTTAATGAGGCCTCTATGGAGTTGTGAAGAGCTTCCTCAAAGCGGGCAGATTTCAGCTGTCCCGCGTATGAATTCCCCATGATCTGAAACAAAACGTACAATTTTCTTACATTCATTTTGTTTAAATATACCCTGCATAAATACCACACACACATCATGATTAGTTCAGTTTTGAAGGGTTTTCAAGGGTTCATCTATTTTGAAACTGAGAGGGAAGGAGACATTAATGTAATGTTTTGATGGACTGCATGAATGCGATTTTAATTTCACTCCGAACTAGGCTATTTTTAGTCTTTCGTAGAATAGCCCTTGAAATCGTTTCTGCTGTATTACTAGCACAAACAGTCCAGGCATATGTTTCAGAGCACGAGAACAGCTATACTGTATAAAGAAAGTTACAATGCCTGATTTAAAACAGTGGGACGAAAGAAATCAAGTGAGAAGAGAGACCTGATCAACTATATTCCAAAAAATGTCACGTGAGCCACCAAAACAACCATTTTTATGACTTTTATGTAGACTCCTTGAGGTGTTTTTGTTCAGCAATCCTTGACTATAAAAACTGTAACTATAGAAAAGTAAGAGATAATGTACAGTCAGTTGGTCATTATTGCAAAATAAACCCTGATGGGATGATCAAAACCCTGACATTAATCTGAGGGGCCTTATATCACTTTTAAGGGGTGAATTTAGCAATAACAACAAAGCTAATTCCCTGAAACAACTGACTGCAGAAAGGCACAATTGATCAATAAAAATCAGGTACTCCAGAGAGTCGTGTATTAAATACTGATATGAAGAAAATGTATACCGCTGAGCTACGTCAAGTATAACCATCTCATCTGTTAGGCCATCTGCTCTGCATTGACGCTTTAATTTGCACTTCTGATTGCATTTCCTTTCCTCTCTTTACCTTTTTGTTTGCCTTGTGAAACTACAAAAGCTCAGTATTGGTTTTTACTAAACTAGATGAGAATCAAGACAGCAAATGATGACAAATGAGTATGCCACATCTTATATTTGACAATTAACTACTTCTATGCAATAATACGGCTGCAACAATACACAAAACATGAAATTTGCAAAATATTCGCCATTGTACCACTATACCTTTGATAATATTTCTTTAGCTGCAGAAGGACAGGATCACCTCTTCTCCATGGTATATCAAAGTTGAAGCGCAGTATTCCTGCACCTACAAACAAAAGGCAAACAGTCAGAACTTCATTGACAGTATAAATACCATGTAAAATATCATATGGTACATAACTTGTTGGAGCAATACATTGGGAATCATCTCTGAGTCGCTTGAACGGTGCAATTAAATCCAACTATTGCAGAATCAGAGATTGGCAATGGGCTTATTTTGATTTAAAAGCACTGAATGGAGAATTTATTGTGGAATAAATCAGTAAGATGCATATGTGGTGAGTATTAATCCATGCGTTATCTCAGATCAGACAGTTGTTTGTAAAGCTGAACAGATTGCAGTGATCTTCAACATATGTAGCTGTTAACTGATAACGCTGAGGGATGAGTTATATGACATTATGACCTCAAGGGAATGTTTGTGGAACGCACAGGGGAAAGGAACTCCATGTCTCCTACTTCCAGGATTACACAAAGACTGATGGGACAGGTTTTGTGCTTTTAGCCTGGTTAAAACAAGAGTGAAATGCAATAAAGCCATCAATCAGTCAGTAAATACTTCAATCAAAAGTATCCCAAATTTGCAAAGATTATATGACCTACATACTTTGAAAATCAGAAAATGAATGACCTTACGGGTTATTTTTATTAGCAGTTTTTAAAGTCTAGGTGATAAAATGGATTTGTTTAGATTTAAGCAGATATATTGATCCCCACCAGGTGATACTATGATTAGTTTCACAATAAATACTGCAGCAACAATAAATATACCATTATATGTCAGCATTTCTTTGAACATTGTGAGATTTGTGAATGATTACCCAGAAAAGTGGATATAATTGAGACCAACTGCAGCCCAAAGAGGCAAGTGTCTTCATCAGATCCATTGAAAAAACTTCCTCTTTGAGACTCCACAATGGATCTGAAATCTTTTTTTTTCCAGATAAAAAAAAACTCCAACAAGTATCTGAAGACTGACATGGAAAATTGCTGGTGTGACACATGGGCCATGTCAACTGACCCCACCATTGAATAACTCAAAAAACAAGTAGCACACCCTGTTTTGCAAACAGCACTTGGAGGCCTGTTGGGTCAAGTTTCAGCAAATCACTCGTCTTGATACTGTGGTAAACAGAGGAAAAGTGAGGTAGCAGCACCTGAGCATAGTTCTGTCCTGCCTTCAGGGCTCTCAGGGTCCAGTTTGACTGCTAATGACACATAAGGGGTGTTAAATGCTAATGTGGACATGCCTGCAGAGAGCCCTGCCTTTAGGCCAAGAGCTGTTTCAGCTCTAGTCACCTCTTACTGCTTCCATACAGGCTTTCAATTTGCTTTCTATATCTGACTGATTATCTACATCGCATACAACACAAAAAGCTGTCATGAAACATCTAAAAAAAAATGCACCAAGTCCTTTTTATAAGAAGAAATTGAAAAGAATGAAAGTAGCTGAATTCTAAAAACAAAAATCAATCACTGAAGTTTCAATATGAAACTGAAAGCAATGAACATAGGCTACATGTCTCTTTCCCTGATCAAAACGAGTTTACCGACAACCGAGGACTTGGTGTGACTCAAATGGTGTGTTCAAGGATGTCCAATCCCAACTAAAGAAACCAAAAACTCTACAAATATAATCTATGAGATCGTGAAATAGCCAAGAAGGGAAACACAACACTTTAAGTAGCCAAAACAAACCAACCCACAGACATAATTAGGCACAGCTACAAAAGTTGGTTTGCTTTGCTGGTAACGTTTGTTTTGTCTCAGATTAACAATGTTACACTTATGTTGTCCAATAGACTCAACATGTGGAGATTTCAGTCACTATTGTGGTGCCACATGCAGTTTGATGCATTAGTTTCTTGACCTAACTTTGTGAAGTAGATTTGAATATGTCCATATAAAAAGTTATTTTATTAACAACAACAAGGACAAAAACATTTAGCATGTATGTTCTTAGTTGGTCGAGCGATTTGTCTGGTTCATATCAAAAATGAACAACATGATAAATATGTTTATGCCTTTGCAATTTTGTGGACATTTTCAGAGTGCAATAAAAGGCCAAATAAAAGGTTTAAATGAAATGTGCCACATGTGGCTGTAAATGTGGTTACAGTCACACACTGCACTGTACCCCTAAAGGCCTTTCTGTCTTTCTCTCAATCCACTCCCTCTTTTGTTTCCTTCCTTATCTGCATAATTACATTAAACTGATGACAATGGGAGAGGACAACTTGCTTTCAGTGCACTTTCAATGAACAAATTCTACTTTAGTTTCACAAAAAAATAAATGGCTGGTGAAATTTATAAAAACAGCCCATTTGTAAGGTACAAACATTTAGACTAAAAACAAGCAACACATAACTGCATGATTTCAACACTCCCTGCCTATATTTACTTAAAGAGTAACACTACACTACTTAACTTTTGACTTAGCACTCATCACTGACCAATTCACACTTAGTTTTCTTTTACATTCAGAGACATTAACTAAAGGTAAGAGAGTTAAAAGAACAAAACTTCATGAAGGGGGATGGGACAGAGATTAGCCAATGCAAAAATCTTTAAATAAATGGGGCGCTAAGAGCCATGGCCATTCACACCAATTTAGCAGGAGCCGGTGAGTGTCAAAGAAACTAACATGACGCTTCTGTACCTTTCATAAGCAGCCGGGGTGTGGAGTGTGCCTCAAATCCCACTGAAGACCTTAAAGCAGATCACTAAAACAGGCTATTTCCATAGCAAACATCCTTTGGATATCCAAAAGCAGCGTCAAGGCTGTGACAGTATTCCTCGTCCCTGTTGCGAGCCAGCAGCTCCCTGGTCATGATAGTCCAGAGTCGCGGCGGAAAAGCCTGATTTCAGGAACTCCAGTGGAGCCACCTTCTCTGTCCTGTATTCAGTGGCTCTGGATACACAAACCCTCCAACACTCACATACACAAACAGCAGGCCCTCCCCCCATTCCTCTTGCCCCCTCCCTCTTCTTGGCCATTTGCTCTGTGGGGTGAGAGGGGCATTCTCTCGGGACTCATTCATCTTGGCCCTTGCTGACCCCCTAAGGTGACAGATGCTGTTGTGGAGAGGGCCATACCGCCGAGCACAGCACAATAGAGGCGAGGCGCCTCCGCGCGCCACATGCGTGCTGCGTTCGCCACGCACGATGCGCAGATGCCCCTCTCTTAACGTGACACCGGAGACCGCTAAGTGCCACACTCGCAGATGGGGGTACGACGTAAGGCGAAGGATCGTTTTCCTCCCCTTCTGCCGCTCCCCGTTTTATTGGGGCCATTTTACTGATAGGGCACACCAATGGCAAACTAGGGACACTTGCTAAAGAATGTGGGGTCAGTCCGCATTTTGTCCGTCAGCCTTGCCTGAACTCACATCCCTCCCCTCGCCAGAGGTTGACGATTAACTGAGAATTCAGGCCCATTGTAAATAGCCGAGTGGCGGGGACTCATCTGGTCTAAATAACTTGATAGGAGATTGATGTTTTGCACTTTACCGGATTGATCATTTCCTACAGCGTGCCACAGAGAAGTGGCTCAGAGGAAGTGAAAGAGATTTGAATGCAAATAGGGGAGGATCGGGTTCCCCTGGTGCTCCAGGCTCTCTCTATGACTCCATTTCTCTTCTTACCTCGCAAGATAATGACAAAATATTGTGACTCGGTTGACCCTTTCGTTTCAGGACCTTACGGTATTTAAATGAACCAGTGCTGGTCCATTTGTGAACTGTTACCATTCACTACAACTCACTATGGATTCAATAACAATAATCTAACTCTATTATGGCATAAAGTGTTCCCTCAAGTTTTATCAGCCCAACCCTATCAGATGACTTTAGAGGGTAAATATACACAGTAGATTTAATCAACACACCCGAGATCCTGTTTTGTCTGCAGCAAGTAGTAGGATTTGTTAATAATTGATAACAGTCTTGTCCATGGAACAAAAAGGTAACTTGACGCAATGGTTCAAAGAGTGTGCTGAGAACCAAAACAGTGAAATGCATTTGTCAAAGTTAAAGACACAAAGAATTTGTCAAGCAAACAACAAAACAACCATGTCAACAAAATGATGCATTAGAGGCAAGCACTTGGTGAGATAAACCAAAACATGGAATAACCCTGTAAAAATGGCATTAATGGCATTTTGTATATTGAAGAGTAAGGAAATAATTTTGATCAGGTTGTACAGCAAATCAGTAATTTATTCTGCTTTCTAAAAAGTTGGTCTAAATCGAGCCATATACTCCTTCTCACCCTAATAAGAATTAGTAGATAGGGGCTAAAGCAGTATGGGAGTCAGCTTTAAACAATGACCTCCCGCCCTCAGAGGGCTTTATTAGCCTCCCAGAGTCATTAATGCTGTCATTCCAGCTAATCTGGGGGCTTTGTCTAAACATTGTTTATTTTAATTGCAAGGTTTCTCCTTCAGAAACCATTTGGACCATACAATGTCCCTGAATGTGTAAGGACTTGTGATCAACAAATGCTGGATATTTTATCAGAAACTTACCTTTGCTGTACTGTTTGCTAGACTCTTTGTCAAGATTGTAAAAAAAAATGTATATGAAAATGCAGCACAAGTTTAATTTTCTGGGTAACCGAAGTGACGATTCAAGTCTCAGGCTTTAACACTATCAGACCTTAATGGGTCACTGGAAAAGGAGAAAGAGAGCAAAGCAGAGGTTTCCTTTGCTCAGTTGAGCTTGTGGGTAAAACAAAAGAGTCAGTGAGTGAGCTGTCCCTCCTCTCGCCCATCCTTCAGCGCTGCTTTGAGTCTCCAGCCCTGGGCACTGACAATGGGAAGTATCTTTTCCACTGCCACCTGAGAATAGATGAGTCATGTGGTGGCGGCTCTTTCAACATCTTTTGGAGTCCTGCTTTGTCTTGTTCTCTACTTCCTTTTGAGAAATGCTCCATTCTCTCGAGGTACAGCAAAACTGCCTCATTCCAGAAAGACAGCATCATTGTTTAGATCCAGTGAGACCAATACAACTTGGTGAATCTTTGGACCAACAAAAGCCCAGTTTGAGG